CCGCCCACTGATTGCGGTGGAGTGGTCTGCGACGCTTCTGGCTACTCCACGGCGGTGCTTCGGGTGACTCACCGAGAACAACCGAGGGAGGGGGGTTTCAAGGTCAGAATGAAGCTGGTCAATCAGCTCAATCTCGACCAACTTGAAAATATGTATATAACGCAGTATGAATTCGCACAAGAGTGCATCCAAATGCTTGACATTGTCATGAGCGAAGCGGTTGCAACGAGGAACATACCGGTGAGCCGATCATAGTTCAAGGAGGCGGGCAGTCAACCTCTTGGTGGCGGAGTCATGGTCTACAAGGGGTTTTACCAGAGCAACAGACCGGCCGACTTGGATCCAGCTCGACCCGGACGAGGAACATTGTGTACATGGTGGAGTGCAAAACTGTTGCAAGCCTTTTGAACATGGCTGATGTAGTTTGGAGGAGTTCGTGGCAAAACGAATCGGGGAGAGTTGTGGATCCTAGAGGAAGACGAAGAGAGAAAGCAGGGAAAAACAATAGTCTGACAAACAATTTGTGCTACACGTATGTGGTATGCACAAGATCAGTTTCAGTTGCTCCGCCAGCACATTATGCTTATTTGGCATCCTTCAGAGCGCCGTCGTACTTGGGCGACCTTTCAGAGGAGCGTCTAACCTCGAAAGCGGAGAGGGAGCTGTTGGGAGACAGCAGACTAGGAGGGTGGATCTGGTGGACCTCTTCCACCTGCAACTCCTCCCCCACGTCTGGCTACCGAAGCGGCAACTCAGAGGGCGCTCAGTGCAAGGTTGGGGGCGATTACATTGGCAGAGAAGGACCCCGCCGGAGCGAGGAGAGTGCTGAAGCCTGATTACGGCAAGGTTGGCGAACGGCGAGTACTCGTAGCCAACCATTTTTCAGTGACTGTCTCCAAGCGGGAAATACATCATTACGATGTGGTCATTTCCCCGGACGTTTCGAGAGGGACGCATAGGATCATCATTGCACAGTTGCAGGAACATCATCGGGTTTCTGATTTTGGGGGACGGCGAGTGGCCTACGATGGCCGGAAGATTCTTGTGTTTTGCAGGGCCTCTGCCTTTCCAAGAGGGACTGCATATTATGCTCATTTGGCATCCTTCAGAGCGCCGTTTTATTTGGGCGACCTTTCATAGGAGCGTCCAGCCTCGGAAGCGGAGAGGGAGCTGTCGGGAGACAGCGGGCTAAGGGGGTGGATATGGTGGACATCTTCCACCTGCAACTCCTCCCCCATGTCTGGCTACCGAAGCGACAGCGCAGAGGGCGCTCAGTGCAAGGTTGGGGGCGATTACATTGGCAGAGAAGGGCCCCGCCGGAGCGAGCAGAGTGCTGAGGCCTGATTACGGCAAGGTTGGCGAACGGTGAAGCCCCGTATTCTCTTGTCCTCCAGCTTCCTCCACTGATTGGCACGTTCAATATGGTCCAACAAAGCAGTGGGCTTAGCCCCGCGCCTGTCAAAACTGTCGTTGAAAGGTTCAAGAACCTCCTTTGTGGTGTGCAAAGGATATAATTGTTCAGCAGTTATGAAGTCCTTGCACTTCACGCCATCGCAGAAGGTCTTCGCAACGTAGCCAAACTTCTTGACGACCTTGAATTTCCTCTCAATTTCTTCGAGGGAGATCTGTTTGGAGATGACCTCTGTCAGAATAGAGACGATTGTTTCCGGAGGGATTTCTTTGGGGTATGTGGAAGACATGGTAGAGTGCACATCAGACTTCGACAAATAATTTGTGCTTTACATATGCGGCCTGCACAAGATCAATTTCAGTTGCTCCGCCAGCCTATTATGCTCGTTTGACATCCTTCAGAGCAAGGTTTTATTTGGGCGACGTTTGAAAGGAGCATTCAGCCTCGGAAGCGGAGAGAGAGTTGTTGGGAAACAGCGTATGATTACCCCTTGCCTGAATCGAGTGACAGTATGAAAAAAGGTTGTGTTTTACTGCTGACCGCCGTGGATTGAAATTCAGGATAGATGCCGGAACGTGATGTCAGTGGACTCCGAGGTGGAATGTACAGAGATAAGGATTTATTTGGGGTCTGTGGAAGACATGGCGGAGGCTGTCCCAGTCCTTTGCTTGTTCTACATGATTGAATGTGATGTCGTCGAATTGTAACAGTGTCCTACAAGCATCCCCGGTGGAAAGGCGTTTTTCACAGGCAAAGAGAATCGCTTTGTAATTCTTCATCGAGGATTTTGCCTAGCAAGACTTTTGGCGAAGTTGTAACAGTGTCCTACAAGCATCCTCGGTATAGAAACGTTGGCCAAGCGACAACATTTTTCATGTTAGAGTACAAAAACGGGACAAGCGACAATATTTTTCATGTTTGAGAACAAGAACGAGACAATTGACAACAATTTTCTAGAGGGTCACGAGGTTCTGACATAACAGCCTTGCACCAAACTAGCACCTCGGACGAGAGGGAGCAATCTTCTAGATGAGAGTTCAGCCTAGGAAGCGGGAGAGGGAGTTGTTGGGAGACAGCGGGTGTTAACCCCATTGTTGGAAGATCATGTTTTACTGGGGCTGCTGTAGTTTGGAGGGAGCTTTTAAAAGGCTTCCCCATGATAGCTTAAGGTTGTCATCAGAAAGGAAATCACTGAGAATCACTGAGATGAAGAAGGCATGCAAGTCGCTGGATGCAACATAGGAGTCAAGGACAACATTCATTGTGGTCCAGAAAAGGCATCACGCACGACTCTTTGATCTTGGACGAAATGTCGATCCAGACACTGTTGAGGGCAAGCGGATTTGCCATCCTACCGACTTCGACTTTTATGTATGCAGTCACGCTGGCATTAAGGGAACGAGTCGGCCGACACATGACACTGCCCTCCGGACTCTGACAAACAATTTGTGCTACGCGTATTCGGCCTGCACAAGACCAGCTTCAGTTGCTCCGCCACCCCAGCATGCTCATTTCGCATCCTTCACAGCGAGGTTTTATTTGTCCGACCTTTGAGATGAGAGTTCAGCCTCGGAAGAGGGAGAGGGAGCTGTCGGGAGATAGCGGGTGACAACCCCCTCCCCTAAATTGAGTGACAGTAGAAAGCCGGTGATGTTTTACTAGGGCTGGTGTAGTCTGGAGAGAGTTTTTGAAGGGTCTCCCTAGAAGGCACTTTTCAGAGATAAAGAGAAATCAGTTTATAGTCCTATATCGATGATTCAGCCTGGGACGAGTTTTCTTCGCAGACAGCTAGCGACGACGTGCAGTATTTTGACCGAAGTGAACTGCTTGAAAACTGGCATTCAACGCAAAAATGGACCCAACCGGGGCGGACTGTCAGACACACGCACTTGTTAACGTGCAGGTACCAAGACAGCTTCGAAAGCAGATAGCGACGACGACGCGAGAGCCCTGGAGGCATGCCGGGGCCTCCGGTGCCAGCCTCTGCCGACGTGGCACATGCCACGCCGTCTACACGCTGATGCGACGTTTGATGTCTTGTGTACTTGCTGACGTGTCACATGCAACACTGTCTACTTGTTGATGTGGCGCACACCACATTGTCTACTTGCGTGGCATTCACCACCTGTGTTCATTGTTGAGTTCGACGCGACGTGGAGGAAGATCGGGATCTGTGGTTGACTGCACGGGATGTAAATACATATGTAAATACATATCTGCTGTGTAGGACATGTTTGTCAAAGAGGCCATATGTAGAGGACTGTAAGACATTCAAGGGACTAGTTTGAGAGCAACAATGCGTTTGGTAGCGATTTGAGACTGCTGCAAACAAACCATTTCGAGGACGGACCAGAAACAAGACTGTGACACCACCCGCCAAAGTGATTAACAGAGGACTAAAATCATTCAGAGGCTGTAGCTCAAGCAATGGGAATAATTAGAAGAGTACAATCATTCACAGGTTGTAGGGCGAACAACGAGAACGAGTAAAGGACTCCAACAATTGAGACGGTCGCCGTTGTCAGGCCACGATTCCAACAGCGATACTGAGCAAAACCAGGACTGTGGCACGACCCGCCTCAATTATTACAGGACTACAATCATTCAGATGCTGTAGCTCGAACAACGAGAATGATTACATGACTAAAACAACTGAGACGCTCGCCACTGTCAGGGCATGATTCCAATAGCGATAGTGAGAAAAAGCAAAGACCTGGCAGCATGCTTCGCACAGAGCAAAGGACCACAATCATTCAGCTGTCACACCGAGCAGAACCACAAATGTATCAAACGAACTATTTTGACACCCGAAGAAGCGGGCAGGAAACAACGCAGCGGAGCCAGCCACGCCCCTGTGTGTTCAACCAATTCCCCAAGAGAAAATAGAAAACAAATTGTTAAGTCAGAATAGAATTCGGAACAAATGACAAAAACTCACTCAAGACTTATATCCTTGAAACCCGAAAGGAAAATGACACAACAACCGCCTCAAAAAAGAGAAAAAGAGAAAAAAAAAAAAAAAAAAAAACCCCCAAAAAAAAAAAAAAAAAAAAAAAAAAAAAAAAAAAAAAAAAATAATAATAATAAAAAGACAAATGTTCGCCATCAAAACAGGAGTACAATGACCACTGGCGGGTAAAAGTGCTAAAAGTGCTAAAAGGACAAGAACCAGTACTAGTACAACAGTGGATCCAGGACCACGTCACAGCAAAAGCGGGTAGACGACTACATCACATCAAAAGTGAACACAAGACTACATCCCTACGACAGTGGAAAAACGGTTTGGTCCAAGCGTCAGTGGATCCAGGACTAAGGACGAAACAAAAGTGCGCACAGTCCCCGGTCTCAGATACAGAAGTCTTTCGCAGTGGGTGTAGAAATCTGAGAAGCGAAGTAGGACTACAATAACTGAAGTCTTTCGCAGTGGGTGTAGAAATCTGAGAAGCGAAGTAGGACTACAATAACCGACGACGACAACAACAGCGTTCCCGCTCTCAAATATAGTTCTATAACAGAAACAAACGACGACGACAACAGCAGCAGTCCCCGGTCTCAAATATAGTTATATAACAAAAACAAGTTATAGAACTATATGCGCCCTTGTTTATTTTCGCATACGCGGCCGAGCATTGCTGCGCAGACCCATCACAAGGAGCTGACCACCTCCTATCCTCCGATCTTTCTCTTATGACCTCGTGTTTCTGCCTCTGTGGCCTGACTTGAGTCCTGGCTTCGTGCCAGCTGCTCCTCTGGAGGTACTGCCACGGGCGGTTCCTCACGCTGGTCAGATCCTGCCGGCAGATTGGCTTCGGTTGCAATCAATCCCGGCATGGGTTCCCATGTCTCCTGTGTCATATCCTGGCCGGAAGTCTCCGTTGCCGTGGCTTCCTCAACATGTCGCTCTTCCTCCTCGAGGCCGTGATCCTCAGACACCTCAACGTCCGCATCAGAGTGTTCTTCCTTCGATTTGCCCTTCCCCTCTTTCGGCTTTTCTCTTTGCAACGTCCCTTCGAGGTCAGTGAGCAGCCTCATGCGGATTCCCTTCGCACACCGCCTGTCCAGCTCCACGACAAGACAGTTCCTGTTCGCCATCACGCAAGCAATGACCCCCGTACCCGAGCTCGAAAAGCCATCCAAAACGGTGGCGCCTGGTAGAGAGAACTTTGTGACCAACCAGGAATACAATGCATAAGGTTTCTGGTACGAACAAAGCACCGTCATCAGCCGGGTGCACAAACTTTAGCGTGACCGCATCAAAAAGTTGGAAGTTGTGGCGGGGATCAGTGGAAGCGAAGCTGTAATGCGTCATCTCACGTTGGCCTGTCACATTGTAGTACCCCAGAACGCAGAACTCCGTCGCGCTGACAAGTCTCGGGCCACCGGGATTCGTCGTGTTCGGCTTGCACCACGTGACAAGCTCTTGACCAACATTGCAGATCTTTGCAAACGCGGACCTCACTGAGGATAGCATGTCCACAGATCAGAAAGCAGTGACTGTCCAGAGCGATGCGCTCGAAACCTCCTTTACATTCTGGAGCACAGCGACAATGTCACTCTCCGGGAATGGCTTCGTGTCACGCGCGTGTCCTTTGTGCGCAAAGCCGTAGGGCAAATCGAAGATGGAAAGGGAAATCGGCACCTTGTCCTTTTGCAGCTGTGCCAAATGCAACATATCGCCTTGAATGACCTTGACCTGCCCCGAGCACCCTTCGTACTTCACGTCAGTCCAGTCCGCGAAAGAGTTGTCTAGGGAATGCGCCCGGAAGAAATCGTGACTCGCTCTTTATGCATCTTTAATCCTCTTGTCCTCCGTCTTCCTCCACTCCTTCGCTCGTTCAATGTGATTTAGCAAAGCAGTGGGTTTAATCCCTCGCCTTTCAAAACTCCCAATGAATGGCTCGAGAACCTCCTTCTTGGTGTGCAAAGGATACAACTCCTCTGCGGTTTTGAAGTCTTTGCATTTGACACCATCGCAGAAGGTCTTTGCAACGTAGCCAAACTTCTTCATGACCTTGAACTTCCTCTCCATCTCTTCCAGGGAGATCTGCTTGGACACAACTTCCGTCAAGATGGGGATGATAGCGTCGTGCGGGATATTGCCCATCGTAATCCATGGCTGCGCAGGCATGTCAGCCAGGGCCGAAGCAACTTTGTTGTCCTTCAATTTTAGGCGAGGATTGAAGAACGCCATCTCTTGCTGCTTTGCGACAGCCCTGTCCAGCTTTCTCGCCCCGCGTTTTTTCTTGCCACCCTCCGACTCGCTGGACTCTGGAGCGACGTCTGTGCGGATCTGACTTTTCACAAGAGGCTTGAGTTTCTGGTTCTTGACCTCCCCCTTCTGCCATATCTAAAAAATTCGCAGTTGCAGGTCCCAGATCTTTTTGGGACGCATCGCGATCTGCAACAACGGGTCATTATTCTGCAACTTCTTGGTAGAACACGGTATGCCGAACTCTAGCAGGCAGGCCAACTTCACCTCCGCATTCTTCACAGAACGCCAACATTTCATCTTCTCGATGAAGTTCAAATCTCTGTGGTAGCCAACTGCCAAATTGTGTTTGTGACCCACCTGCCTCGCTTCTTCCGTAGTCAGGCCCGCATAGACATAGCACACATTCCATTTGTAATCCTCCTTGTCAGGGTAGATCTTCTGCAGGCGCTCCCTCGCCTCCCGGCAATGTCCACCTCCAAGAACATAAATGGTGTAGCCACCTTTGCGCAACCGGGCCAGATCCACGTCCTTCTTATCTTTCACCTCCGACGGATCGACGACACCAACGAAGGGAAGATGATCCCCAGTCGGGCAAGTAATCATCGAATCCATGATTGTGGAAACGTGGTCCTCTTCGGGCTCCCGAATCTCGAGTGGCCTGTTTCCCGTTCCGTCGTCCGGCGGTCGTCGCAGACACGACATGGGCAGGTAAAAAGGCTCTTGGGAAATTTTCTTCTCCTTTAAACTCTCCAGCTCGTTCCAGGCCCGTGTCAGCTCGTCGTTGAGTTCGCCGGGAACAAGACCTCAAGGAACTTGAAGCTCGTCTTGCGGAGTTTTGCCTTTCCCTTTCGAAGACGCCGCAGCTTTCGGCGCAGGTACTTTCTTTTTTTGAAGCTTTCGGCTTCGCACCCAGCTCGTCTTGCAGAGCTTTGCCTTTCCTTTTCGAAGACGCCGCAGCTTTCTCCGCAAGTACTTTCATTTTCGGAGCTTTCGGCTTCGTACCCGAACCTTTCTCTAGAGCTGCCGAGGACTTGACACACGTCTGCGGGAAGACTACAACTGGAGGAGGCGTTCTCCGCTTGCCTTGCTTCCGTTTCGACGGGCCTGGGGTCGACGTTGGCTCAGCGATCGGGGTACCTGAACGGAAGAAGCCTGGTCTTAAGACGTGGATCCAAGTATTCACCGAGCTCTCCAATGAAAACCTGCACGAACAAAAAACGGGCATTGTGGCATGTCAGGACTGCTCAGTGGTTATAGGACTATAACAGTTTAGGGATGCAGCACGAACACTCAGCATAAGCAACAGATTGGGATAGGATCTCAAAGATTACAGAACTACAATCACTTAGCAGAAACAGTACTGCTCGGTGGTTATAGGACTATAACAGTTGGGGCTGCAGCAAGAACACTCAGAACAAGCAAAGGACTGGGACAGCCTCTCAGCGATTGTCGAACTGAAACCGCTTAACAGAAACAGTACTGCTCAGTGGTTATAGGACTATAACAGTTCAGGGCTGCAGCAAGAACACTCAGAACAGACCGGGACAGCCTCTCAGAGATTGTAGAACTGAAACCATTGTGGCATGTCAGGACTGCTCAGTGGTTATAGGACTATTGCAGCAAGAACACTAAGAAGAGACCGAGACTGCCTCTCAGAGCTTGTAGAACTGAAACAATTGTGGCATGTCAGGACTGCTCAATGGTTATAGGACTATAACAGTTTAGGGCTGCAGCAAGAACACTCAGCACAAGCAACAAACCGGGACAGGATCTCAGAGATTACAGAACCACAATCACTTAGCAGAAACAGTACTGCTCGGTTGTTATAGGACTAGGACAGCCTCTCAGAGATTGTAGAACTGAAACCATTGTGGCATGTCAGGACTGCTCAGTGGTTATAGGACTATAACATTTCAGGGGCGCAGCAAGAACACTCAAAAG